CACCCCCCCACCCCCTACCCAAATCCTCGAAACATACCTTGGAATCACCAGACAAATCAAACTTTGTAAACAACCTCACACCTTCCATCTGATGAAACACTGGATAATGATTCCTATCAATCTCATCTCTCCTATACACATCCCCGGTTACAAGAAAAGCATCAAGTCCAGTCCTAATCAAATCTACTTGGTGTGCTGACGTGTGAGCTCTGAGCATATATTCACTATTTATATAATAATTATCATTCTTTGATCTACTGATATGATTTTTTGGCACCAACAAGCTGTCAAAATTTTGATCTACAGTCACAACCGGAGGGATATTGTCCACCATTGTGAATAAAGGGCCATTGCGGTGGCGAAGGTAAGCGGAATACACAAACTCGTGGATTTTATCTTTGAGTATTTTAAGAGGATGGTTTTTGACGTGGTGAAGTCGTCTGTCTGTCTTGGAGAGAATCGATGGAGTCACATTTGTGTTACTGTCGCTCTCGTATCTCTTAGATGAAATAAGTAGCTCTTCGTTTCCTTGAAAAGATGTCGAAGTAATAGCAAATCTTCGCGTGAGAATATAAACTCTGTTTGTGAGAATTTTGAAGGCAGACTTTTTTACTGCAGGCAACATGGCTGTCGTGTCGAAGGTTCTACCACAGGGTACCCAATTACAATAATAAATAAAAAACTTGGAAGTTTATTTTAAATTAGAAAAATTCATTCCTAATCACTACTATATAGGTAATAGTTTAGACATTAGGTACGTACAAGATGTAGTTTCGTGTTTGAAAATAAAAATTATTTTTGAAATACAAACAAAAGTAAACTGCGTTTGGGTTTCCTGTGTTTTTGCGGACAGACAGACAAGACATGAAGAGGGAGTCGTCGCATATTATGGTTTGTATCTGAGGTAACATGCAAATGAGACGGGCTTTCAAATTATTCATATCCTAATAAATATACAACAAGTCTTAAATATACATGTACCATTTCAGGATATGCTCGGCTAGTGCTCCTTCCAACGAAACAAGGTAAGAAAAACATCTCATTTCTTTAGTAAACCGCTTAAAAAGCAATCAAAGCGAGCGAAAATCCATCGCGTGTTGAAGACATGAGATGTTGATGAAGGAAGCGGTGTCTACTGATGTTGGACTTTTTCGTATCTTCTCAAAATCTCTCCTCAAATCGCTTCTTGTATTCGCTATCAGTAGGACATAGCACCAAAGCAGAGGTTTTCTGTTGTATCTGAGGCCGAGATTTACGAATTTAGAGGAGATTTGAAGGGAAACATCTATGCTTCTCGCAAAAATTACCCGGAAATTTTTAACACCAGGTGCATTTCATGGAATGAACAAACTAGACAACCTACATCGAAAAGCGATTCTTCCTTGTACCAAAAAAAATCTCTAAAATGACACATTATTTCCTGTTATTCATTATTTCTCATGCTTATTGAAAAAGGCTTAAAATTTACAGCCAAGGATTAAAATCCCGGGATCCCGAAATAATTAAATTTTGAAGCGTTTTTATCTAGTTTTCTTGGATTTTGAGGCATATTTTCTTAGTTTACCTTTATAATTTTATTTCAACTTCAGGCTCAGGTTTAAAGCGTTTTAGAACAAGCATTTCGGATATCAAAAAATACGAAGAACTTGCGTAATGCAATCCGATAAAAAGTTTTCGATAAATCATACTTTATGTAAATATTTCATAATTATAAGCCGTGGAAATCGTCTTTTCTCGAACAAAAAGACTAAAATTTATAAATTCATACTCTGGTTTTTGATTCCAAATCAATTTTATTTTTCAGACTGGTTCTTTAGGGATTAAAACATGACAACTACAATGGATACGACCCCTGCCCCACAGACAGACGACAGTTGCTTTACATCCATAAATAATTTTGTTATCGAGAAGAAAATAGGTCGAGGACAGTTCAGTGTTGTGTATAAGGCTCGATGTGTCGTCGATAACTCGATTGTAGCTCTCAAAAAAGTACAGGTAAGTGAGCTTACTGAATCTACTTCGCATTTTGTTTTATCGTTTTTTGGCACTACTAGCGTCCTAAATTATAGCCTTTATTTTTGCGACACGACGTGGACACTATTAATTTGAAAACTTGATAATGAAGTGTCATCGATGAAGATGCATCGGAGGAGAAAATTAGGTCATTAAAGGCCTCGGTTGCTAAGGAATTATAACAAGGGTTGTATATTGTAAACAGTGCATTAAGCTAGGGGATAAAAAGAAAACAACATAATGGTGTATAAAGTTTTGTAAACACATATATGCTATACAGGTTAAAATAAACACATTGCACAATTTAGATATACAATTTATTTTTGCTTGTCAAAAAATATGAGTAAGATTATGCAAATCTAACTTTTTCAAATAACATTAAAATAATTATAATCACTTTATTTACCATCATAATTATTGATTTATAATGAGGCTTATAGTAGGCGGGTCCCTTTGGGGGGTATTTTTTGGTATAAGGTGGTCAAACTCAAACCTATAAAAATGAGTTAATTTGGTAAAGTTTGATCTGACTTGAAGCCCAAAGAGAAATTGTACTGGCTATTTTCTAATACGGAAGTTCATAGTTGTCATTATTATGGGATCAATATTAGATTAGGGTTTAGGATAAACCCGGCAACCAATACATGTACCACCCTTAGATGTAAGTCTGCTCTTGTCGTTAACCATCCTATGGTTGCCATAGTTCCAGGGACGCAGAGACGACTGCTATTGCATGCTTTAGACACAAGTCTCTGGCTTGTGAAATTTAAACAACGTCTTCTCACTATGATTGTCGTAAGACAATTTGCTTTACATTTGCAACTTGATGACACAAAAGATCTTTATTTTCTATCACAGATATTTGAAATGATGGATTCCAAGGCTCGGCAAGATTGCATCAAGGAAATTGATCTACTCAAACAGCTAAATCACCCCAACGTTATTAAGTATTATGCTTCATTTATTGAAAATAATGAGGTAAGAAGGGTTTATCATATTGTACCATACCGTAGAGTTCCTGTGGTATGATTACAATGACAAGCAGCCAGTTTTCATTTAAGATTTAGGATTTGGGATTAGCACTAATATAGATTTCCACAACTTAGCCCAGATATCAACCTATTATAATGTGTATGATAACTAAGAATAATGGTAACCTTACAGAGCAGCATGCAAAAGTAGGACTATATTTTATGTATTTGCATACTTACGCCTGTATATACACCAGGCATTTTGCTGCTCAATGATCTTTTATAAACTTTATTTGGTAAATTGTGTTGGTTTAATGTACAAAAGCCAGAGTGCATAGAAGCATGAGAATATATTAAATGTGGCCAGAACATTGCTTAAAAAATTGGCCACCACCAAAGCCTCTCTTCTCTCGTTGCTGACCAAAAGGACAAGATTGATTTTCTTCTATCTCCCCTCTCACCCTCCCACCCTNTCCCACCCCCAACCTCCAACCCTCCTACCCCCCAACCCCATCCATTTTTCTATCCTGGTTCCTGACCTGACCAAGTGTATATTGCATGTCATATATCTACAGCTGTACAATATGACTTTCAATGGTCCTTTCAATATGTTTTATTTTTTTGACAGCTCAATATCGTCCTGGAATTAGCAGATGCTGGAGATTTATCAAGAATGATCAAAGTAAGTAATCAAGCCTCAGGTGCTTAAGAATCATCAAAAATATAACCTATGATATAACATTAATTTTCTAGGTGCCAATCAGCTTAAAGTTTATAAGTCTCATTATAAGCTGTAAGTGAGGGGCAAAAACCACACTTAATCCTCAATATTATGTAGTTCAATATTGAAACTATTCAGCTCAACTGGTAAAAATTGCATCTGTTTTAGCCTTGTGCACTGTAAGCATTTTAAAATTCCCCTGTCATGCAATGTCCTTTTTTCATGTAATACCAAAACTCACAAGAGCTAAAAATAATTATCATAGCTGATGGAAAGAGCATGGTAATATTGGTAAAACTCTTAAGTTTGAAGGAAATAGCTTCAAAAATCCTGTAGAGTGTGAATTTTGCAAGAAAACCTTTTGTCTTCAGGATTACAAAATTTTGAGTTTTTAAATTTATATGTTTACTCAATTTTTGAACTTTACAGTCAAAACAGCTCAAGTTTACACTCCTAGCTTTCATTAATGATTTCATCATTAGAATATTTGAATTTATTAATATTCTTTCTGAGAATACAAAGACTCAGGGTTCAAAATAATGACTTTTTCAAAACTTAAATTCTGATTCATGGATTATGGTGTTGGTTAATGCTATGCATATATGGAATAATCCAATCAGAATTTGACTTTTGAATCGGTTGTTATTTTGAATCCTGACTCTTTGTATTCTCGGAAAGAATAATAAATATCAATCTTCAAATAATGAAACCATTAATGGAATCTAGGGGATAAGCTTGAGCCATTTTGACTGTAATACCTTACAAATAATTGTACTGCAGTTTGACTAATTTAAACATGCTTGTCACTCTTTCCAGCTGTAAGTATTCTTCTGTCCTGTGAGTTATTACATGACAAAACCTCATTCAGAGAAACTTTTGAAAAGATTAATTATTTGTCCCTTTCCAGCACTTCAAGAAACAGAAGAGGCTTATCCCTGAGAGAACGGTCTGGTAAGTTTAATGACATGTAATGTGCTTGTAAAGTCACTGCTCTTTTACTTATAAAACTCAATAAAGCATCAAGAGCATCTTCATTCAATATTTATCACACTCTTACATTATACCATCACTTTCAATTTGTCACTAAGCATTCAGGAACTCGTGAACAATTTTTTTTAATTTTTAAATTTTTGTTTTTGTAAAGGAGTATTTTTAAAATATTCCTATTGAATTATATTCCTGTCTGGGCAATTATTACTGAACTCCAGAGGTTCTAATACTCTTCAGATCACTTAATCAGAAAAATAGGGAATGCCATGCTGTGAGAAATTATAAAAACCTTTAAATAACCTCTCCAGGATATATTCAGTCTTATAATTTTTTTATGATTTTTTAAATTTTTAAATTAATTTTACACATTTATTCATTCACATAAACCCGTGCAATAATTCTGTTGTTCTTTTTTCAAAATAATATTAAATTATGTCTGAAACATGTTTATTGGCAAGGGGCCTAGAGAGGACCCAGGAAGTGGAGGAGGGGGGGGGGGGGTACCCAAAATAGAAAAGTAAAAAAACCCAACATCTTTATTTATTCAATTGATTACCAAAAAAATTAGTCCCCCTCAGTGCCCCCTTCCCTGTACTAGTGTATTTGAATTGAGTTTACATGAAGTATTAGCCTGATAGCAAATATTACAAACAGTTGTTGTCATCTTTTCATCAGTATTGACCATTTAATCTTACTTATGCTCCAGGAAGTACTTCGTTCAACTCACAGCTGCTCTACAACACATGCATTCAAGAAGAGTAATGCACAGAGGTAAGAGAATTAAATTTAACTTATAATGACAATAACGTCCTTTTTTCACAAGGATAGCACTTAATAGCCAGTGGCTAACAAACCTGTGGCCCTCATTCTGTGATCGAATTGGAATTTAGCAGTTGAATTTTCTTATTTAAATTTATCTCAATTCATACCACCTATACACCCCTGCTAGCAGCGTCTCCTTTGTTGGCAATTCTTGGAACGATGGAGACTCTGCTAGCAAGGAACACATGTCATATCTTTGAGTATGTTTGTGAATAAGTTTGAGCAAATAGTACTTTACAGTGCTAACCATATTTTTCAAAGCTTATTTTACTGATGTTGATTGAAGCACAGCTACTTACAAGGGCGGATCCAGCCAAAATTTTAGAGGGGGGCTAATTGAGTTTTTTTCCATCAACACAACGGAAAACAATGAAAAAGAGCATCTAATTCTTCAGTTCTGTTTTGGGTTTTTTTCTGCTGAATAGGGGCTTCAGCCCCCCTTTGCCCCCCTCAATCCACCCTTGACTAACAGTTACTATAAACATATTTTTTTTATAGATATCAAACCAGCAAATGTATTTATCACAGCATCTGGTGTCGTGAAGCTTGGTGATCTGGGGTTAGGTCGCTTCTTCAGCTCCAAGACCACAGCCGCTCACTCACTTGGTAAGTGATTTCACTCCAACCTGGTAGATTCACAATTTGGTAGATATGCAGACAAGATAATAAATAAATACAGAGTGAAACTTTGTTAAGAGTGTAGGACCCTTGACAGTTGCAAATAATAAGCTGGTGACACTACATTCATTCATTTTTTTGATATCGTGAAACAACCTCTGGGCTGATCTAAGACCAGGCACAGCTAACTCACAGGTCAAACCCTGAAACAACCTCTGGGCTGATCTAAGACCAGGCACAGC